AAGAATGAGCAAGCCTGAAGATGTTTCAAAATGCTAGCTGTTTGCTTTGGAGAAAGTTTTCTTTATAGATATATCTGTATAACACACACACACACACACACACACACACACACACACACACACACACGTCCCAGAGATTCTAATTCCAGTATGCTTTTGAAACTATTATTATATGTTAGAAGCTATTATGCCGGTTTGGTTGAATGCCTGGTAGGCAGATAAACGCTGGGGCCCTTTCCTGTAGGTCTCTGAGCCCTTTGGACAGCGGTATAGTTAATTGTTTAATGTGGTGGTTATAGATTCATTAGCCTTCTTCTCTAACACGGTAATTTTTCTTTAGAAAGGGCACGAAGTGGAAGTCATTCTCCAAACCCGCAAATTCCATTTTAATGTACGGCTTACACACATCTTATGTGCATCTCATGAGCACACTGGGCACGTGCTGCCGGGCTTCCCAATGTGGCATAGCCCACTGATGGCTGCAGCTTGCCAGTGGGGCTGTTCCGTTATTGGAATGAAAGGAATTTTAACACTATTTAGACAAAGTTCCAAATGCAGTGTAAAAAGGAAAGCTAGGCTTTCTTATGTGATTCCTTTCTGTTTCTCCCCCCCCCCCCCCCCCCGCTTTGTTTTTCAACTTAGGAATCTCTCTGTAATAATACGCACTGGGGCGGGATAGAGTTCGTTTTTTTTTTTTTGTTTGTTTGTTTGTTTTTGTTTAGTTCTATTTACTATTCTCTTCCAAAGTTTCAGCATGCCTGAAAGTGTTTTCCAGTGGAGGTTAACTCTGTTTTTCAAGCCAGTGCCTCGGCCTCATTTTCACTCTTCTGCTGCTGCTGCTTTATTTCCTAATGTCTGGGGCCCAAACTGGCTTCTAATATTGAACTGCCTTATAGAATCCTATCAAGATGCGTAATCATTTTAATTATTATGTAATTAAGTTTCTCCCCAACTCAGGTCGCACTTTTTGATAAATAATTGCAGCCATCGTATGACGAATGTCACTCTTATTCTGAGAATATATCTGCCTAAAATCTCCCCTTCTGGCATGGAGTTTTTGGTGCAAGTTTCATACCAATTTCCTCCTCTCCAGAGGGGTGGTATGTGTGTATTTTCTGGCTGTAAGCAGAGAAATAAAAACCTCTAAAGCTGAGGACGGCTAATTTACAGCATATCTGAGAAGTTTTGCAATTAAGATTTCTGTCTAGAGAAACTCAGTGTTTGGGGGACTTGCATTCAAGTTCGTCGAGACAGGTTAGTATAGGAAGTGTAGATAGTGTCTTGTGTTCTGTTCAAAAGAGCCAGGAAGGCCTATGAGAAACTGTCCAGAATTCATCAGCCTGAAGAGCTAACTACCTGTTTCCTTAAAAATCTGGACCTTACTATGGGTTACAATATCTCATTTTTAAAAGGAAAAAAAAAGAATTGAAAACAAAATGAGACAAAGGTCATTGTGTTTAGTTATATTTTCAAAACAGTGTTGGCTTTGTCTGCTATTCCATTAACTTTCAGGGAGGCCTACCAAAAGAGAAAATGGCCTGTATTTGTAACATGGTTGCAGGGATTTGTGTCAGTTTTAAGTGGGTCAGGGTTTAGGAATTCAACCGAAGGTAAAAGATTTCTTTTTCAAGTTATCTTTCAATTAGATCCCGTTTATAATCTGGTTTGAGGACAAACAGTAATACATCAAAGCATAGCTTTTGCCCCACGAAGGCATTATTTTCTTCTTATATTTATATTTTGGGAACTCATGTAATCCCTAGTTTGTCTGTGTGGGGAGACAGCTCTTCGAATATTCCTAGTGAAATGTAGTTAGATAACAGTTAAACCTGGCATGAACTAGACATTCTGTTGGGAAAGGGTAGGCTTTATTTCTCTCATTTAAAACAACTGACTTTCATTTAAAAAAAAATAAAAAAATCTTTTAAATTAAAAAAAGTTAAAGTGAAATCAAACAACTTTGATTTGTGCAAAGTGTTTATATTTAGTCTTGTCAAGGCCGCGCCAACAAGAAAATCAGGACATGTAAAGGAAGAAGAAAATATAATCACTTTTGGCCAAATGGCAGGAATTGTTTATCTTTACCATTAAATGTCTATGTTCTCATGCACCTCTGGTGAGTCAGATTTGCCGGTCCCATCTCTCTAGATGGATTTACTCCTGAGTCAGAAGCTCAAATCTGTCCAGAAAGATCCATTCTTTGTGTGTGTGTGTGTGTGTGTGTGTGTGTGAGAGAGAGAGAGAGAGAGAGAGAGAGAGAGAGAGAGAGAGGGAGAGAGAGAGAGAGAGAAAGAGTGAGAGAGAATGTGTATGTGTATCTGTCTCTCTCTTTTCGCCCTCTTTCTCTCTCCCTCTTTCTCCCTTTTTTAATGGCTCAGCTCATTTAGAGGAACTAAAAACTTTGGGGAATAAAAATTGAGATGTCATCATTCATATCTCTATTAAACAGTATTAATGACTAAATGGTGCCAATCTCCTCCACTCTCAGAATAGCCTATAACTGCACCTAGAGCTACTGCCTGCAACTCCCCTGTTCAGAAACCAAAGAGGATGCATTTTTGCACTTCACATTCAAGCACCAATACATCCAAGACATGGGGCCCAGTTAATCTGTACACTAAGAAACGGAACAGAATCAAAAAAAAAAAAGCAGTTTATTATTGTAGATTACTCTTTCTCTTGATATAACCAGAACTGAAAATGAAAGAGAAGCATGTAGAACATCACGCGTGGTTAGTTAGTAACTCAAGTTATAAAACAATTTTGCACAGCAAAATATGTAAAAGAAAAGTAACTGACAAAAGATTTTTTTATATTTATTGTGGTAAGATTTACTTTTCTTTCTTTCTTTTCTTTTCTTTTTTTCTTTTTTTTAAAAGACAGGATGTCAGTCCCTGAAAATAACATTTACTGGTTATTGCCTTTAAAAGTGTGGATTTTTTTTTAAGTTACAGAAAATCCAGTTCTGCACCACAACACAACTGTAAAAAATCTGCATTGCTTTAAAACTGTGCAGTAATGCCATTTTTATAACTGCATAAATTTTATTAGCGTTCTAAACAGTTTTGCGATTTTTTTTGTATTATATGCTTGCAGGTTATATCTTAGTGCAATTCAGTCCCAAATACTTTAATTTTGGAAAAAAACATACATTTTTTTGAATGTAAAATACCCCTACAGATATAAACAGGGGCATTTCCCCTTTAATACTTTGGTTTTCAATACAGTCCATGGTATAGCAAGAACTACACATACCCAACTTATATTTAAGTTGCGAGCACATGCTTCAGAAGCTACTTTTTAAACAGTCCCCTTGCAAACTCTACCCCCCTTAACATCACAACAGTAAACAATTTAGTGCATCGGCCTTTAAAAAAAATCTACAGCTACACAGACCTAACTCTTTCAAATTTATCTATAACATTCCTTTATCTGTAGCATACATTTTAACTGGGCTAACAGATTATAAAAACTATAATTAAATTATATACTAGAAACCCATAGCATTCCACATTTGACAATGACCAAAAGCCAAAAAAAGAATAATAATAATAAAATAAAACAAACCAAAAAAATAATTGGGGCAGATTTCTTTTTCTTTCTTCTCAAAGAAAAATTTAGACTGCTTTTGGCAACCGCACAACTTAAAGTGCCCCAAAGCAGGCGTCATTGTTACTAAAAAGAAAATATTTAATTTATGTTCTATAATATTTGCCATGTAAATTTGTAGCCCATTCTGGTATCTTTGACAAGGAATGCCTTCAGTGCATTTACAATGGGAGGCTGAAGTTCATAGTAACTCAAAGCAGTCGGGAGTAGAAGCAAACTTTCAAGGGAAGAAGGCTTTGGGGTTGTACTTTTTCTGTTGTTGTTCTGAACTCAAAAAAGTCATGAGGCTGAAAAACAAAAGTATGGATGCCATGCGCTAAGTCTTCAAAAGTCCATTTCCAAGCCAAAAGGGAAAAAAGGAAAAAAATAATTATACCATACATGTCCAGCATGCAGGTTTTTTTTATTAATATAATGTCTCTTTTCCATAATGTCTTTGAAACTGTTATAGTTCACTGTTGCTAAGACAAAGTAGCAAGCATTGTAATGCATGAGATGAGAGTAAATTTGTTTTTGTGTCTTTTTGTTTGTTTGTTTTTTAATGGCAGACTAAACTTCCAGATTTGGCAATGTAAGGCCAAAACTCAGGAGTCACACCCAGAAGCTTGATGCAGGCTTGATTGTGGCAGGTTCAGGAGGGGCTTTAGTTCATTCTGTTTTAGCATAACAATGCTGAAAAACCCGGTGGAACTCAGCACGCTGCAAGGTCTATAGCATTTCACATTTTTTTTTCCTTTGCAAACTCAATCTCACAGAAGAACTCAGGAGAAAGAAAAAAAACCTGCTGTTTTTCCTTTAATCTCAAGAACATGGTGCAGAGGGAATGAGGGCGGAGGTTGGGAAACACGGCAAGCTCCAAAAAATAAACAAAAACAAAGAAAAAAACAAAAGAAAATCCAAACAAAATAAACACACACACACAGAGAATGAACACCAGCTCATGAACTGAAAAAGGAGAAAGAAAGAAAAAAATACAGGCGATTGATGGCCGGATTCAAAGGTGAGCTATGTCCTACATGAAGTACTCTGCTCAGATCTTTGACCCTTGTGCAAGTCCGGGGTGTGTGTTGGGAAGGGGGCGGTGTTTAAAAAAAAAAAAAAAAAAGAACAAAACAACCAAGCTAGCAAGTTATGGGGAATTCAGGTTGGCAATTCATGAGCCAGACACCCCCTTCCCTCCCCAATTCAAAACAGTCGTCACCATCACAAGTTTGGTGTGTGTGTGTGTGTGTGTGTGTGTGTGTGTGTGCAAGGCCAAGGGGAGCAAACTCGCCAGGGGAGGGGGCGAGGTGGTGGCGAGCACGGCCCTGCAACTAGCAAGCCCACTCAGGAGCCGGACCCCCACGGAGCATTTAACAAGGTGGCTAGCTGGGATCGCGTGTCACACTCACATGAAAAATTCGGGAGAGGACGGGTTGTCGCTGCTGGAGCCGTTTTCTCGGAACCCGCTGCTCACCAACTTCTCGTATTTCTCCTTGTAGGCGTCCCTTTCGCGCACCAGCCTGGAGATCTCCTGCTTGAGGTGGTCGACCTGCTGCAGCAGCTGGTTCTTCTCCGACTCCAGGACGTGTCTCTGCTGCACCCTCTTGAAGCGGCAGGACTGGGCATAGCCGCGGTTTTTCAGGGTCCGCCTCTTCTGCTTCAGCCGGATCACCTCCTCCTTGCTGACCCCGCGCAGCTGCCGGTTCAGCTCGCGCACCGACATGGTCACCAACTGCTCGTCCGAGAAGCGGTCGTCGAAGTGCAGGCCGCTCGCGGCATGGTGCGGGTGCAGGGCGCCCCCCGCCCCCGCCGCGCCCCCGCCGCCGCCGCCGCCGGCGCTGGTCGGTCCACCGCCGCCCGCGCCACCCGCGCCGCCCGCAGAGGCGGACGCGCCGCCCGCGGCTCCCGGGGCGCCGGCCGTCGGGTGGTGGTGGTGCCCCGCGGCGTGGTGATGGTGGTGATGGTAGTGGGGTGCCGCGCCGCTCTGCGCGGCGGCCGCGGCGATCACGGCGGACACCACGGCGGCGGCGGGGCCCATCTCCTCGCCGCTGCCGCCCAGGGAGGCGCCGGCGCCGGCCCCCGCCGCCGCGGCCAGCTGCTGTGCTCCCCGCGCGTAGCCATCGAAGCCACCCTGGAGCTGGTGGCTGTTGCTGATGAGCGCCTCGACCGCGTCCTCCGGGCTGAAGCCCAGCGCCTCGGGGTTGAGCTGCTGCGGGTAGCCGGTCATCCAGTAGTAGTCTTCCAGGTGCGCCTTCTGTTCGCTGCCCGAGCCTGGACTGGGCGCCGAGAAGCTGGGGGACGGGGGCACCGAGCTGCAGGGCGTGCTCATGGGGGTGGAGGACAGCGAGCCCCCGGCGATGAGACGGCCACACTGGCTGATGATGCGGTCGGTCTCCACCGGTTCCTTTTTCACTTCAAACTTCATCAGATCGAAGTCATTAACATATTCCATGGCCAGGGGACTGGTGGGCAGGTCGGAATTGTTCATTGCCAGTTCTGAAGCCATCCTCCTGCCTCCGCCGCCGCCGCCGCCGCCGCTCCGCCAGATGGGCTGCAGGAGAGGGGCCAGCGGGCTGTGCTGGGTGGCCAGCGGGTGAGCCAGCTTGCCGGGCTAAGGCGCTTCTAGCTCGCGCGGCGGTGGCTGTGGCCCGAAAGCTCGAGCGTGCACACACCCCCCGCCCTGCCCGCAGCCCCCCGCGCCCGCCCTCCCTCCCCCCTGCTCACGCCAATGTGCTCTCTCTCTTTCTCTTGCTCTCTCTCTCTCCCGCTCGCCCCGGGCCCCCTCCTCGCCTGCTCGCCTCCCTGAGCTCGGATCCCGGGCGCTTCAGGCTCGGGAAGGTCCTCCGCAGCTGGCGGTTGTGGTGGTGGCGATAACGGCGGCGGTGAGGATGCCGGAGGAGCCCGACCCGGTGCGCGGCGTCCCCGGCTCGCCGCTCCGCTGCGCGCTTTGCATAAGGAGGGCTCGCCTAAGCCGGCCGGGCTGCAGGCGGGGCGCGCGCAGTGGCTGCTCCCGGACTGGGTGGCGCGGCGTCCCGGAGGTGCGAGTCTCGGCACCGGGATAGTTAACACTTCACGCTTCTCTCCTCTTCTGCCTGGCTCTTATGATTACTATTATTATTTTCTCTTTTCTCTCTCCGGATTCCTCGCGTGCGCGCGCGCTCTCTCTCTCTCTCTCTCACCCTCTCCCTCCGTGCAAAGTGCAAGACCGAGGTGCAGGCCGGCTGGAGGCAAGGGAGGGGGGAGTTTAGTTCTTTCTTGCCTTTTTTTTTTTTTTTTTTTGGTTTTGGCTTTTTTTTAAAAAAAAAAAAAAAGCAAAATTGCAAAGTCCTGGGCCAAGGCGAGGCCGAGAGCAAAAGGGTGTGGGGGGAGAGGCCGAGCGGACTAGCAGCTCAAGCTACAGCTCCAAGATGAAAAAAGATTTTAAAGCCTCTGATCCAGCGAGAAGAGTTTAAAGCAATTGCTGAGTTTTATAGCACCCGTGACGTCAGACTCAAATGGGAAATTGACTGGTACTCTCCTCCAATGGGAGGCGGCGAAAGCGGCCGCGATTAGCATAATAGTATAGAAACAAGGAAACTTTTCGGAGCTGTCAATCACAGCCCAATCAGCTGACTGTCAGCTGGGACAGGCTGGCTTAACCCTTGCGGCGCCGCAGCTCTGGGGCAGCCAGGGAGTAACGTCCCCCACCCCAGCCCCGCGCGAAGTTTAGTGCACCAGGGGACAGAGTTTGCTAAAAGGGCGGCTGGAATCCGGGACGACCCGGGAGGACGGTTTGCTTTTCTTCGGAGCTCGAGAGAGGCCTGCCCTGCTGAGCCGCAACTCTGGCGCTGCAGAGATCCGCCTGAACGCTCCTGTCCCTTGCCGGTCCCGCACCCTGACAAGGTGCTTTTATTCGTCTTGCAGTTTTTGCTTTTTGATTCGCCTTCAGCATCCTCCGTGGCTGTTGGAGGGGGAGGGGTTACGTTCCTTTACAGAATCTGATGCTCCCGGGCCCAACTTGGCTCAACTCTTTGTCCCTCTCCTAGTGAGGTGATCAGATGGGGGCGCCAAGGGTGCGGGCACCCAGAATGCGCGCGGCGCGCGGTGTACGGTGCACGGGTGCACGGTGCGCCTGTACTGGTTTGGATTTCGCGGGGAGAAGAAAGCCTGTATGACTCTCTTGAAAAAAAAAAAACGAGGGGGCCTACAGTGTTTGGGACGTTCTGTATAATGACTAGCCCGCTGGCATCTTCGGCCCTTGGAGAGAGTGATTGGTCGGCTTTTCCAGCAAGTTGATTCCCGGACGCTGGGTCAGTCGGGGCTCATCTCTGAGGCTCCTGACTCAGGCTGGGAGTTTAGCTTCTGAGAATCATATTCATCCGCCTTCTATCTTCTCGCCTCCCTTCTCCCCCCCCCCCAGTCTTTTCTCTGCCGGCTTTGCTATCCATCCACCATCCTTTCCATTTGTGAAACTTCAACCGTGCTTGAGAACCCGCCTCCCCCCCACCGATGCCATCTTCATCATTATGAAATCCGAACCCTGTTTATCAGGGTCCTGGGCGCCCTTTGCCCTCTCTTCTGGTTTAATTATTTGGTATTTGGTGGTCAAGTGGGGGGGAACAATACCTCAGAGCCTTCCCTCACTCTTCTCCAAGGGTTAAATTTTAAACTGCTTTCTTCTCTGAACAAGTCCGGAAACCCAGAGTGGGGGTGGGGTAGGGTTGCCCCCCTCCCGTTACAAATATCAGTAACCGGTTTAGTTTTCTAAACTGATTTCTTCCAAAGTTATGCAAAAATTTTGGGGGAGGCAGGGAAAGAAACAAAAAAGAAAAGAAACTAACAACTCTTTTCTAAGATTTTAAAGCGATAGGCAAGTCGAAAGAGCGGGGATTGACAGGGGAAAGAAACGTTGTCTGAAGCCGCCCAATATTTGGAAGACAGGTTCACCTGCTTGGAAATTGGGACTATAGATTTCTTCGTAGAAGGAAATGCATTTGGTGTTAATCGTATTTATTTTAACTCTATGCAGGATGTCTATAGGGGTGTACTAAAAAAAAAAATTCGAAAAGCCTGCAAAAGAATCCAGAGTAAAAACTATTGTTGGATCGAGTTGGTTTTCACCTCAACAGCGCCACCTTTCGGCAAAGGTTAGTTGAAAATTAATCTGTTTTTGAGAAAAGTGAGAAGACGCTGATTTTTCAGGCAAGAGGGGCAAAAGCTAGCAAGACCAGAGTGGGAGAACCCAACGTTGTAGGAAAGGGCCTACAGAAATTGCGAGTAGGTGCTGAAATCTTTTTTTCTTCCTCTAATGGCCCACTTCGTTGCTTCGGAAGAGGTCCATAGACTCAGTCCTTGGAGGATGTCTTTTGAGCGAAGAGACCTGTGCACGTTAGTGCCATATAACAGGGCCCAGGCTCTTTCAAATCACAAGGAGGGAGTTTTAACGGGTTTTGTGGCAATAAATATAGAATTAAACTTCCTTGTAATTCAGTGGTATGAAATGCATCTCTCATAAGCAAAGCTATTGCAGTGGTATAAAATCGTTTATTTGAAAAGTAACTCTCAGGAAAGCCTGACTTCTGACACTTAAGTCATGTATTAAGCCATCTTTGTGAACATTGTACCTAAGTGCGGTCTCAAACTCCCACACCCCATAGCATTTTTTTCTGTTTATAAAATGGTGTTGTGGGTCACTCACAGGCTTGGGACACCAGATTTAGACCATTGTTAATTTCTCATCGACAAACTCTGGCACCCCTACTGGTAGACAACCTGGTAAATACGTAGAGACATCTTAATTCTAAAGGACCTGCTCTGTTGGTATTTTCTAGACACGCCGTTCTTTAATACTGTTTCTGCAGTGATTGTTTATAAGGGTGGTTTCGCTTTAGAGGAGTGCTTTGTTGGGGTGGTGTGAACTGTGTTTAGTTCCACTTTGGGGGGAGAAAGAGTGAAGACTATGTCAATATTTATGTGACCAGAAAAGACGTCTGGCTTGGCTTCCCTCCTCCCAAACAATATTCCACCCAGTAATGAAGCTAAGGATGGCAGTATACACTCGAAAGAAAAGCCAGTGTTTAAAATCACAGCAACGCTGTGCTGGTTAGCCGTGGTTTTCAGGTCGTTCTAAAAATCGTTAGCCATATATGCCTGATGTTTATGTTTCTAAGTAAAATACGAATATGTGTCCTTAGAAAGAATTCATTTTTATGATAACTTTTAGGATTTTTGGACATTAAAATTTTTGTTAAAAATTTTGTTAAAATTCGTGTTAAAATTCTTGTTAAAAGCTGTAAAGTATAATCCCTGCCCCCTGTCTCTCACTTTCTCTCTCTCTCTCTCTCTCTCTCTCTCTCTCTTTCTCTCTCTCTCTCTCAAAAAAAGGCATGTTTTGGGCCAGTGGCATGGAGACTTCTATATTTATAAATAAACATCATTTTATGAACAAAAATTGCTGATGTTGGACACCATGCCCTATAGCTCCACAGCCACACACCCAATTGTCACAATTATATACCATTTCTAGACATTCAGGGACCACATCTGGCCAGCTAACTGTATTATTATCTACACTTTTTTTACGGTTTATTTTTCATTCTTGCCATTGTCAGCCATAGCATTTTTCTTCCTCTTCTTTTTCAGAGCCTTTTACAAGTTCCCATTTTCGTTTGAAAACGAGAAAGAGAGAGGGGGGCAAACATATTCTTTAAAAACATGTAACTGGAGGGCGTTAGCACTTAGGTGCCATTTTTGCCCCTCTGCATTGTTCAGTGGTGCACAGGAGGAGTCTAAACATTTACAGCATGCTGTTAGCAGCGTTTCTTTGATAACAATTGCAAGCTCTCATTTTAATTTAGTCCCATTCAGGTTCCTGATTCCCCACAATTATAGCCGGCCATAGTGCTGGCGACTTCGTTGCTAGCACTGTTTGTTTTTCTTCTAGCCAAGCCAATCTAATCCAAATACAATATGAACCCCCTCACTCCCATATATACTTTAGTGATCTCTGCCAGCTATATACAGGGATTTAGAAAGTGCATGTCTGTCGTGATAGACCAATTCAAACTGGTAGCATTAAGGTTTCTGAAAGCCATGAGTATTTGTATAACAGTCTGGGTGGGAAGAAGGGCATCTGACTGGTCATTCGAGGAGACCTGGAAACATCAGAGAGAGCAGCCATGATGCTGAGTCAATCAATCTACAGACAGCTTCACGAGAACAGGGATGGAGATGTAGACGGCCTGTCAAGTCTAAATTGCAAATATTGTAGGCTAAAAGGACCATACTTTTCCTCATCACAAGTTACTACCCCTCAAACATGTCTTGTTTCAGTCCGACATCCAGAATCTCTAAAGTGAACAGGGTGTATGTAGCTCGAAGCTTCCGAGGGCTTTATTTTTGTGCGAGCCGGTTTTACGGTGCTGAACTAACCAGTGTCCACTAAATCTCTGTAGGAAACCGACTCCATTGATCTGCAAGAGTTCTGGAGAGGACTGGAGTGATAAGGCTTACTCTGTTCCTAGGTCTAGTGTTAGATAAATCCTTTTAGCCGTCTTCACTTAGCAGGGTAAGTAAATCACAGACTGCTGTTAGCAGATTCATGGGAGAAAATTAATAGAATCAGACGAGATAATCTGATAAGGGTAAAATTGCTGAGGAAACAGTCCTGGCTTGCATCGGAGGGCGAGAAACAACAGTCTGATTACGAAGACTTGTTATGAATAGGTGAGTTATGGGCTAAATAATCATCAGAGCAATTCAGTCTTTATTAATTTTTCTCTCTTTAAGCAATTCACAGTTGTAAGTTAGAGCCATTCTCTTTGAAGACACATCTTTTATAATTTTTATTAGAGGTAATTTATTATTTGCGTTACCTGTATTTACTTCATAATTGAACATTTTGCATTCAAATTTATGTAATGCATTATGCCGGAGAATATATTTCTGCCTGATTAGCATAAATAGTCACTTCATGAATTACTAACAAAGTTTATCTTAAAATATAGGTTTCTTTTTATTAAGCGGAACACAAACATATGTACAATAAATTCAGACCTCTTTTTTTTTTTTTTTTTTTCTCTAGTGCTGTTGGCGAAAGCAAAGGGTAGATGAATGAGACTCCCAGGCTTTTTTCCAAGGCTAACACTCAGATGGGGGACTGTGCGGAGCAGGGCGGGAGAATGGCAGAAGGTTCTCGGCTCCTCAAACAATGCTAAGGTTATTTATTGGAGGACGCTCACAGAAAGCACGGGTTTTCAGCAAACAGCGAATATCGTCATGTCTCCTGCCTGGGAGGGTAAGGACTGGGAGAGTACATTAGTAGTAATGACAGAGCTTGGGGACTCTGCTTATTTTCTTCCTATGTCATTTGTTTTTGCTTCTTCAGACTTCTTCCTCGGAATATCTGCACCCGGCCTTCCGTGGTCGATCTGAGCTGTGGAAAACTCTGCTGTTCCCCGGGGCCGATGCAGCGGGTTTTGCTCATCTCTCCTCCTTTTCTGCACCCCGCGGACCCCAGGCGTGGCCTGGCAGATGGAGGCTTTAATTTAATAAATTGCTTTGGGGACACACGACTACTGGAATGAAAGGGTTTCTTTGGGTTTCAGACGGTGGGCAGAGATGTAAAACGCTGGAGCTCGTCTCCCCGCTCTTGACATTCCAAATTAACAGATTTCCACACTTGACTCTCTTTTGCCCTTTCTTTTGTCAAGGCACAGCCATTTCCTTAGATTCCCCCCCCTTTTTTTTTTTTTTCAATTAGAGACTGCTTGTTCTCCGTCCTTGCATTTCCATCCCTTTTGATCCAGTTCTCACTTATATGGGGAAGGGAGGAATTTAGCTCCAAAGCCTTCAGTCCTTCAAAGATTTTTATTGTCTTCAACTTAAACTGGATTTTTTAAAGGAGCAGGGGGCAAGGGGACTGTATAGAATGCATACACGATAAGAAGAATCTTTAGGCAGCCCGTGCCTTTCTTGGTTAGTTATTCAGGGCACCTTGGTGGCGGGGTCAGTTGTGTGAAGCGCTGTTCACCTGGTCATAGGGTGCCGCTAAGCCCTTGTTCCAGAGGCGTCTAAAAGCCATTTAACCTAGGAGTGCAATGCAGTTCTAGCATATACCAACTGGGCTTAGACGCACTAAACTTGTTTCTGATCGAGTTTGGCTAGGGCCTGAGGCAAGGGGGTCCTTTCCGGTTCTGTTTTGTATTGTTGTTGTTCCTGGTGCATCATGGGTGCCCTGGAGCGTTCTCTGCCGCTGTTCTGTGAAGGCACCCAGAGGGTTCCTCATCCCCACTCAGATAATAACTAAAGTTAGATTGATAGGTCCTATCATGCTGTATTTGTCATGCCTCTGCCTCAGCTGCACATTCTCTGTTGACTAAGTGTGTAAGTAGAAATAAGACAGCGCACAAAAGAGCTGCTAGGCTTCATTTCCACCTCGGGCTGTGGCTCTTGACTTTGGGTGTCAGCCTCTGTCATGGTTAGGGTATTGGAGTCTGGGCCTTACAGAATAGAATCACAGCGTGGACATGGGTCCTTCTTGGTGTTCCCTTCAGAATCCATCTGCGTGGATCCCAAAGTGGACTCTGGGTGCTACTCTGTTTGAAAGTAGAATTTACCTGACAGAATCCCACTGGAGGCCAAGGTGTTTAACCCTTTCTTAATGGGCAGAGCGGATGTGCTGCCAGAGGCTGCTGTGGCCCCCAGAAACAACCATGTGAGCTTTTTTGCAAACCAGAAGAGAAGAAAGGAATATTAATTTAGCATGCATCATAACTGCTACCACAGTGGTGTAGGCAGAAAGTATATTATTATTATTATTATCATCTTTTTTTAAATTGAAATAGATCCATGGAACCCAAAGTGCCCAGGACCTACAGGAGTCCACATGCAATTCCAACATGTCTTTGGTTGCCTCTGAGCATGCTCACGATCTGTCAACTTTGTCTTCTATCCTGCCCATCCATTTTTTCAAGAGTTTATGAGGTCGTGAAAACACTGACTGTTGGGCCAGCGAGATAGCTCAGTGGGTAAAAGCACTTGCTATGCTGGCCTGATGTCTTAAGTTCAATCCGTAGAACTAACTGTGGAAAGAAAGGGCCGACTCTCGAAGGGTGTCTTCCGGCCTCCATGGGTAAGCTGGGCATGTGCATGCCCCTATGCACCGTACCATGTCCCACACTCACACACACAATATTTAATAAAAAAATTAAAATTGCTTTGTGTTTTCTCTTTTAGCATTGGGTCAACTCCCTTTCTTTATATTCATTTTGGCTGTATACTCATGAATATGAGTATATGCATATGCTCATGTGTATTGATAAAGTTCTCATGGGCTGCAGGGTCCTGGGGAAATCAACACCTGTCCCCTGCTTTTTGCTTCTTCTAAATAGACAGCTAGCATTTGTACCTCTGCTCTGCTCTTAAGGGCCATGCCCCCTGGCTGCCATCTCCCAGGTAAGACCACATGATCGCTGCTGTCCTTTGAGGGCTCAAGTCCCAGAGTTAAGCCCAGTTGCCCAGGCTGTCTTCCCATCACCCAGCAAGTGTGACACTCAGCCTCCATGGTCACAGCATGCCTGCTCTTACTACATACCAGCATTTCTCAAGCTTCATCATCAGACATGTGACTCCAGGGACTGGTATCACATGTGTGGTGATTGACCCAGGCCCTGGGCCACTTCTCACATCTCCTGTGTGTCCTATGTGTCCCTTCATATGCTCATAGTTTTGATCCTGCACGCAGACATGAACAGCAGTTCCGGAAGGCCCCCTCTTCTTCACTTCAGCCTTTTTCTTGCTTCCCCTCGTCTCTTTGGATAAGAATGTGTTGTTGACTAGTTTTAATTTGCTTCCCAGCTTTGAGTCAGCTGCAAATGAGATTCATGTTTGCTTGTTTTTTAATGACTTAGCCTGTCTGAACCAGATCAGTATACCCCGCATGTCGGACACTGTGCCCAGGAAATGTCTGGTACAGCCTGGGGACACGGGAGAGCTGTACACATGGTTGTTTCTCTGAGGTTCTTCTAACTCTGTTGAAATGCCAACACTGAAGGGCCAAAGTCCTGCGCTTCCCAGGAGAGTCTGTCCCTCCCTAATCCCTTAGCAACTGCAAAAGTGATCCATTGGGTCATTCAAATCCCTTAGTGGGCATTTTAAACTGGCGCAGCTTGTTTGATAATTATGGTGTGTGTGTGTATGTATGTATGTGTGTGTGTACACATGTATCTGTCCAGATGCCTGTGAGTGGGTATACAAATGTTTGTATGGAGACTATAAGATAATATTAACTGTTATTCCTCGGGTGTCATAAGCTTTGTTTCTTTGCTGTTTGAGACAGGGTATTTTTTTTAATTAAAAATTTTCAAAAAATTTTGGAGAATTTTATGTGTGGATACTGTATTTATATTATTTTCTCTTTTCCTCTCCTCTTCCAATTCTCCTATGTCCTCTCTTCTTAAGTGCATGTCCTCTTATTCTTTAATTATTGTTGTTTTACACACACACACGCACTTACACACACACACACACTTACACACACACACACAAAACACCTGCCGAGATAATTTACTATTGTTCGCATATATTTGTATTTAGGACTCACTGCATGGGACTCAAACCCTGGAGAAGACTGATTCTCCCCTCTTAGCTTCATTAATTGTCTATAGGATTTATTATTGGCTTGGCACTTGCCAGGCAGGCTAAACTGGCAGGCCAGTGAGCCCCAGAAATGAAATGTATCTGTCTCCCAACAAGCACGTGCTATTGTGCATGGATTCTTTTAAAATGTGGGTTTGGGGGAAATCACACTCAGGTCCTCAGTCTGGCATGGCAGGCACTTTACCAAGCGAGCTATCACCCAGCCCTTTTGTGATGACTTTATTCAATTGCTCCATCTGGGTGTCAGACATGTATCTTGCTGATAGATTCTAAAAAGACTTCTGCTTTGGATGGCATAGGTAAAACTTTTTACTGGAGCATAGATCGTGATACAGTAAACCTCCACATTTCACGGTAGCCTGAGTCTTCCTAGTCAAAATGCACAGCGTTTGTCTGAGATTGGGGTCCCCAAGACTAATAGCAAACAGCTAAACCCTGGAAGAGCTCTGGGCGAGTGACACAGCTCAGTGGAGATCCGTTTCTCCTCTCTGGTTTTGCTTTTGCTTAGATCACCAGCTCTCCTGCTTTTTCCTGATGCCAATTTTGAGGGCTGGAGGATCCAAGGCATTTTCTGGAACAGAAGAGCTCTGAGTGTCACGTGCCTGCCTTTGAATGCAGCTTGTCTCTCTGCTGGTCTCTTAAAGGAACCTAAATGTGCAGTTTTTGCAAAACCTCCCCTCTGAGGCTCATACTCCGTAGGCTATTTATGACCTAGTCTGACTTGTGCCCAAGAGAGTTTGGCACATGTTGGTCAGCAGACCTGGCCCTGGATCCTTGGGGCCCAGGAGAATGGAGGGGACTCTTTAGAGACCTGTGTGCCTTTGATCTCAAGGAGTGGTGAAGCAGGGACAAGATACGATTGGTGGCTCTGATCATGAGGCAGTGATCTAGCAAGCTAGGGGGCAGAAGGAGTTGCGGGGGAGTAGGGGACACTGTTCATCTTGTATGCCTTCTTCTAGCTCCTCTTTTGGGGTACAAAAGGACTAGATTGTCTAAGAATTATACTGGGTGATACTGTGGCCATGTCCCCACTCTAGGTCCCCAGAGCTCACTGTGAGACAGGTAACCAAAATCATCATCCATAAACAGGATGAACCACTGCAGAATGTCTATAGGTGACAATGACCGAGTCAGACAGACTCTTTGAAGTCACCATCTAGGTGAAGTCTGAGTGGGCAGGGCCACACCTTATGAATCTCCAAGCTGATAAGCAGCTTATTTATGCAGATATTATTCTGAACATTGGGCAGTACTGGGGCAACCAAGAACCAGCCGGTTACTTCTTAGACCTGGTGGGAATCCTGCTTTTCCTGGGGCCGAGAAGCCTACCTAAGAATCCCAATAATCCTGGGGCAAGTGTCTTACCTGAACATCAGCATCTCCCTCAATCAGAGGTAGACAGGGGCTTTATGAGTATGACATACATAGGTACCAATTGCTTGGCATTTTGCCTCCTGTGTGGGGTAAGCACAGGAGAGCATACTCTCTCAGTGTGTACCAGGGACTGCATGCATTCAGTTCCCAGCATGGACTTCAGAGTACACTAGAACTTGGAAAAAGACCACCCCCCTTCTCCCCTTCCCCTACCCTCTCTTTCCTGAACCTCAGGGTCTCCCATACCTAGAATTCTGAGTGCTCTACCTTTCTTGCCTGCAGTCCTAATTACTGGTTTGTCTCCATCTTTCCTCGGATCTTAGGGTTTCTGTAAGAAAGAGGCCTTATCAAGTCCTTTTGAATAGTGCCTCTCAAGACAGGCCAGGCACACAGGGAAGACTCTGGCCTTGAGTCCTAAAATGGTGTCTTGTTAGCTTTTTACCCCCACGAGCACCTGGAACCCTAGCCATCAGAGCAACTCTTGTCTCTTCTCTACATGAACCCATTGTAAATAAGTGCTTGGTATACAGTAAGCGCTCAA